TTTTTTTCCCGGTACCGGGAACCGAACTCACGACCTTGCACTTGCCAGGCAGGCGCTTTTGCCGCTGAGCTAAATCCCCAGCCCCACTCTGGAACATTTTGTATGTTTTCTTAATCACTTCTATCTTTTTCAATTTGTGACTAGGAAAAATCTCATTTAATATAGAATGTGATATTAAAAAGTACTTACAGTTCAGTAAAAACTAGGCTTATGTTTATCATTTAGCTCACTTTCTTTTATGAGAAATTTCTATTACATAGTACAACAAGATATTGAGTACGTGGGCACATTTTCACCCTACTGTTCAAAAAAGTACCCTATACTGTTCTAAGAAGTTGTAACTATGATAAATGCTTGCTTGTTTCTAGAATGGTCAGAAATTCTTATTTTATAACAGAGAAAGAGAGGACAACTAGGGGCAACCAACTGTATCATAAATATTTTCCTTTTCACTTTTTCTACCAGTCAACTTATCCATAAAATAGCTAAAAACAAAAAACCCATCACTATTTTCTCCTTTCCAAAATAATTCTTTCACCAGTATTTCCTAACAATGCCAGCATTCCCTCAATTAGGTTTCTGACACTTAGGAGCCAAGATTGAGTGTGTCCCTATTACATTTAATGAGTTATAAAATCTCAAATTCTTATCTTCTGATAATCTTTCCTCATCACCATTCATTTAGATCTTCAGTGGCTCTCTAGTATTTTTTTGGTCTCTATCCAACTCAGCTTCTTCTCTCTGTTGTCTTTAAGTACAGTATGTGAGGCACCAAACAAATTTAACTATCATTACAGCAATTACTGTGTATTTTGACAATGGTTTACAGAATTTCCTGTAACTGGACTGCCCTCTTTCCCTCAACTCTTTAGCTCTGCAAGACTAAATTTAACCCACTTGTTTCTAATTCAAAAAGCCAATTCCTGAAGAAACTTTGACCAACCCATCTAGCTGTCCTTGAGAGACATAAAGTACTTAAATTTTATATGGTAGTTATTACTTTAAATCATGCGATAATAATAAATCTATCTTTATCCATATTAAGACCATGCTCCTTTAAAGTAGGCACTGAGTTTTACTAATCTTGTTTCTTCCAATGTTGACTTATAGGAGTCAATGAACTTTTACTGAGTGAAATAACAGCAAATTTTAGATTTTTCCCTTAGCTTTATTGTGAGCTATGATACAAAAGGGAATGCTAAGCCATTATTAGTCTTTGGATTAGAAAAAGTGATCTCAAGAGAACTATTTAAAATGCAACAGAAAAATTCTTTAATGTCAAATGCCTACAATCTGGGACAATAATGTACTGCCAGAAACTATAGTCCTCCCTTGGGTGTCTCAGGCTACTAGTTCCAAGACGTCCTGTGAATGCCAAAATCCAGTCAAATTCTTATGAAAAATGCCACTACATTTACATATTACCTATGCATACCCTCCTGTATTCTTTAAATCCCTAATTACTTGTAATACCTAAAACAGTATCATTACTATGTAAATATTTGTGATATTATATTATTTAGGGAATGATGACAACAAATCTGTGATGCAAGTAAAAAAAAATTTCTGAGATGGGCTGAATCCAAGGATGCAGAACCTGTCTGTGCATAAAGAGGGCTGACTATACTTCATAATATGACCAATTCTTTAATATTTTACTGAAATTCCCAAGTAGGTTTTCAGAACACATGGATCTTGGAAGTTTTATGTGGCTTTCTTTCACATTTCACTAGTATCCCAATAATCTACATTCACTGCGCTCTACATACAATTGTATTTTCTTTCTACTTAATGCTCTTACTTCTATATCAACAAGAATCCCTAGTGACTTATGAGGATAAACACTGTAGATTTAACAAATCTAAGAAGTTTTTGAAGTTACATTTAAATAATGGTCAAATTATAAAGTACTCTGAAATGTTAACATGGTAGGATTTCACTAAAAAATAACTTCATAATAAGATGAAGAAAGCTAATTTTAATAAACAGGGCTTCGTAAGAAAGGACTGAATTATTTCTAAGCTATCAGTTTAACTGTCCTTATATTTGAAGATGGTTTCAATGATTGATTTCTTGAGGGTTTTACAGTCAACTAATAGGGAAGACAGAAACTATGACGACACTACATGACGACAGAAATGGAGGCTTCAGAGTAGCTTTTAGTGCAGTAACTTCAGAGTAGCTTTTAGTGCAGTAACTTCAGAGTAGCTTTTAGTGCAGGAAAGCACTGGATATACCCAAAGAGAATATCTAAATATAGGCAGAAACAGTCTCTATTTGCTAATTCTAATGTAAATAGTGAGGGAAACAAAGGGGCTGTTAGAGAACTATTAAGTCAATGTGGGAAAAGTGTATCAGTCACTCATTTTGACCTGCTAAATTGAAAGAATCTTGGAGGAGGGGAATTCTAATCTGTGAATTAAGAAAAACCAAGAATTTTAAAATACCCAGTCTAGGGCATGTGCAATGAAAACTGGCATGAGGTTTAAAAGCTGCCCCACATAAATTCTAAGGTTTCATAGATAGGAACCTGAAATATGGTATTTGGCAACACTGACATGCAAATTTATGCCTCAAAATAAATAATGTAAGGAAGTTATGGCCCACTAAACTCCTAAATGGTTTTTAGCAGAAAACCCCTGTGAAGTACATATTTAAGAAATCTGTATAATTAAAAAATCTAAATTTATAGGATTATAGGAAGAAAGTAATTCGATGAGATCCAAAACAAACAAGGGGAGAAGTTATATCTAACATTTCTGTAAAGCTTAACATACACATATCTTCAACTTGTCTGCAATGACTAAACAGTACCACAGTACTTTCTCACCTGATACACCTATCAACAAGTCTAGGTATTGGGCAACTTGTTTTAGATTGTTAGAACTAATAAAGCTGGCTGCTACTGCTTCTTTCAATTAAAAATCTAATAAGCTAGTTGGAAAAGTGATAAGGAAGCCATTAGTCAGTTTCCACTGGGTTGGGCCTGTCACCTTGATACCAACAGGTCAACTTCCAGCAAAGAATGGCTGAGCTACAATAGAAATTCTGACTGTGTTTTGATATTAACACACTATAGAAAACTGTCCATTAACTTCTCTGGCTCTGGAAAACAGGCTGCAAGAAGAGAGAATATTACTTTTTTAATCCCTGAGAAACTATAATTAAAGCAACTTGCCTCACTTCTGATATCTTAAAAGTTCCTGCTATCTATGAAAAAAAAACAGATAAGGAGTATTTAGCTGTACAACAAATGATCAGTCAACTTCTACGGTTGTTTTATAAATGAAACAGAGAACTCTGTTAATGTTAGATACAAACAATGAAAACTAAAGCTCAAGCCTTTCTATTCTACTTTGACAAAAATAATGTATTTATAGGGCATCCACCAAAAGTTAGCTGAAAAATTAAAACTTTTCAAACTGACTAAATTTCTAAACAGACAGCTCTTTTTCCTTTTTCTTCAAGAAAAGTACAGTGTACATACTCCAAAATACTCATCTCTATCCTCATGTTTGTTTCCTGTGAGATTTTTTTTTTTGTCTTTTTGAGAAAAGTATAATGTACATACTCCAAAATACTCATCTCTATCCTCATGTTTGTTTCCTGTGAGATTTTTTTTTGTGTGTGTGTTTTTGAGACAGGTCTTGCTATGCAGTTCAGGCTGGCCTTGAGCTCACTTCATAGCCCAGGCTGGTCTCGAACTCCCAACGATCCTCCAGCCTCAGCCTCCCAAGTGCTGGGATTACAGGCGTGCGCCACCACGCCCGGCTCCTGCGAGATTTAAATCCTACATATAGTATTACTTTATACTGCTACAGCAGAACTATTTAAAAATTGATTTTATAAACCTGTTACTGTCAATTTTGAACTTCCTGTTCCAAAAGTGACCATTCAAATACATTTTTGTTAAGGAATATACATTATAAAAGATACTTTGAGAGAAAGTATCTTTAGAGTGACACACACAAGCAAATCAAGCCTAGGAAAGTTTTACCCCTTCTAGGCTATGTAGACCATGTCTTAGTATGACATGTACATGCAATACTCTTTCTAATGAAAGAGATGAAGTTGAGTCCGCAAGTGTTATCCAAAACTATGCCAGAAGACATAAATGCGTTGCCAGGCAAGGTTAAAAGAATCTAACAAGCTTTGTGTGAATTTTGAAAACACTGTCTGCGCTATTAAATACAGAATGATAGTAGTACTAATAAATATGTAGCAAAATAAATGAACAGAACATACACTATTTAAAATGTGTTAAGCAGAAAGATAAACCAAAGTATTTTTTGCCAAAAATGAACTCCAATACTTTATGTTTTTAAAAGTTAAAAAAATATATGCAATAGTTGTGAGAAAGCAACTGTTTTAGGGGGTTACAAGCCAGTAATGCAGATGTACCAAATACTACCAAACAAATTTAGCATTCAAAATTTCTCATCTGAAACTAAATGACTGTCTCAATACCTTGGTCTTGTACCTCCTCCAATTTTTCAATTTGAAATATTTTGCTCTGTTTTTGTAGCTTTTACAGAGAAATCATGTAAAACAGCACAAAATTAAAATAACTGGTTTATTTTACAGAATATATTTTTACATTAAAATATAACAAGTGGTTATTTCATATCATAAAATTCAATAGAATAGGCAAATCTTTTTTTTTTTTTTGAGACAGTGTCTCACTATGTAGTGCAGACTGGCCTTGAACTCACGACTATCCTCCTGCCTCAGCCTCCCAAATGTTGGGATTACAGATGTGAGCCACCATGCCCAGCTGTAACAGGAAAATCTTTAAAAAAATAAATAAGGTACACAAAATGCAGTGAACAGAAAAGCATACTTATAGTCTACATAAAATACAAACTGTCCTTTTGGTTTATTTTGCTGCTTTGTCTCATGCTAGTACTATGTGATTTTCCCCCTTATAACAAAGGTCAGCTTTATGCAAAGCAATTCATGCATACACTTTGCATGTATGCATTACACGTAAGTATTCATACCTATCCCAGAGGCTCTTTGATTCCTGAAACGTGTTCAAATGGAACGCTTGGTAGAAAGCAGTTGAAGGATTCCTGTGAGACCCAAGAATCAAATGGAAATGAGGTTGAGAATGTACAGTAAAATCACTACTTTTTCAAAAAAAGAGGAACAGGAATTTTAATACAGTGCAACTGCTTTAATTTAAAACAAAAGAAAAAAGGAAAAACCATGTAAGCTTTAAAATAACATTTTGAAAGAACTGGAAAATAGACAAAAATCTAGTAGACCCCAACCATCATTCAGGACCAAAATAAAAGGGTAACAATAAATAAAATTAAACACTAGCATCCAACTGTGTGTGTACATCTAATATATACATATGAATGTGACTAGTTCATAGGGCTATCAACACTATTCTGTATCACATGCCTTCATAAATATTTATTGGTTAAGCAACTTAACAAAGCTGTTCCCAGGTAGAATATTCTTATAAAATGTTAAGCTATACCTTTCTTAGGATTTGCTAAGTGGAAAGGGTTTGATAATAATGAAGATTCCTTTTCTGAGTTGGACTTGACATTTTCCCACTTTCAGAATTATTTATGTGCGGTTCTTCTGGACTAGCACATCTTTGTATGGAAGCTTTCTAACTCCCTATATTGGTATAATGCCCCTTAAAAAGGTAAGTCTATTCACCATAATCATCATTCATTTCCACCAGAATCACCCATTTCATCATAATCATCATTCCCTTGGGATATATTTCCTAGGGCTAACACCACAGAATCTTTTTGTGTGTGTGTGAAATGGTCTCGCTATGTAGTTCAGACTGGCCTTAAACATACTACATAGTCCAGGTTGGCCTTGAACTCACGGTGTTCTTTCTGCTTCAATCTTCTGAGTGCTGGGATTATAGACAAGCACCACCATACCTGGCAATACTATAGAATCTTAACTGACGGGCTCATCTGGATAATCTTCTACTATGTATGATTCACACTTGGTATCTCAGTAGTTTTTCAGGGAATAACAATTCTTTTAACAATTTTCCTTCCTCTTCAGCACAGTTGTATGGTCTCCCTTACCATTTACCTGTACTTCTGGGGAAAAAATACTTGTCAACGCGACTTTTAGAATTCTTGACCCACAGTGCAGCAGACTGCACAGAAGCTAAGAATGTTAAGTGCTAAATATGTACCAGACACTATTCTAAGTGTGTTACATTATTAACTCAATTTTCATGACAGCCCTAACAAAAGAGGGTTGTTGTTGGTCCCATCTCAACAGGTTAGAAAAGTGGATCAGACAGAAGTAAACTGCCTGATGTCACAAAGCTAGTAGGTAGCAATCTGGACCCAGAATTTATGATTTTCAATCAGTATGTTAAACATACAGCGAGACTCAAGGAATTGTGATATAGATTGAATTTAAAATTTCAACCATTTGGTACCTCTTTTTAGATAAACCAGAAAAGGCAGACAGAAACTAGCTGTAAGAGCATTACCAAAGCAGCTATTTGATTAATTAGATTTCTTTAATGTATACTTTTTTCTTTAATATACACTTGTTTGCCCTGCCCCAAAGGCTTTCCAATCTTTTAACACTTTCTCTGCCTTTAACTAGGTCTCTAATATCAAATGCACTCATTAGACCTGCCAATAACAAGGTTTAAGAGGCTTCTAAATTCTATTTAACATCTTACATCCTCTCAAAATATATGTCAGATGACTTTTTTTAACTGTACTTATAGATCAATGTGTCAAATCAAATGAAAACCAACCAAAAACTTAATTTGGCTTAAAAAACAAATAAACAAAAGAAAAAACCAACAACAGGCCCATCTAGGACCATATAATAAGTAGTTTGCTATCCTCACAGATCTGTTTGGGGACAAGTCTAAATGGAATGATTCAGAGAAAAAGGTAGTAAATATAGGAGGAAATCAAAGAGTAGGCTTGGGAATTATTTTCCAAGTTTAGATTTAAAAATTTACCAAAGACATTCACTTTAAAAATAAATATATTTATAAGGATAATTTTTAGAGAACGAACTTCAGATCCTCTGACTTTAGAAATAAATATTTAAGGCCCAATAAATCGGTCTGGTTTCAAATGAAGTCGTAAGACTTAAGTAGTGAAATCTCAGCATTTTTTTTGGCATAACAGTAAGTTAATCTAAAGGGAAAACAGAATGATATCTAGAGTAACGATAATTCCTGCAGTGTGAAAAGGACTTGTGAAACAGAATAAATAGATCCAAAGGCTTTTAGAACATACCAGAATACCCTTACAAGAGGTGACAATTAACAATCACTCTTTCTACACATAAGAAAATGAAGCCATTTGTAGTTTCACAATCTTATATGTGCAATAGAAAAATTTACACAGCTTAGATTTTACTGATTAAGTCTTATTATGAGAAATGCAATTTTGGGCTGGGGATGTAACTCAGTGGTATAACACTTGCCTAAAATGCACAAGGATAAATAAAGGTCTGACCACCAACACCGCCACAAAAAAAGTACTTTTCTTTTTGGTGTTACTTCTGGACTCCTTCAACAGAGATGCTATCTATAAAATGAAGCATTTTTAAAAAAGCAAATAGCAAGAAGTTGCCTCAAAATACTGATGAACAGGCACTGTTAAAAGGAGTTAAGTTTATGAAACCTAGTTAATCAAGAACTTCAAAGTTGGGTGGGGGAGGAAAAGACATTTATAAGCACTAACACTGGTCATCAAAGACAACTGGTTTGGGGGCTGGGGATTTAGCTCAGCGGCAAAGCGCCTGCCTGGCAAGCGCAAGGTCGTGCGTTCGGTTCCCGGTACGGGAGAAAAACCAAAAAAAAAAAGACAAGTGGTTTGGAATAGCATAAAATTTGAAGGGAGCAAGCGCTCAAGGAAAACTGTTAACAGGATCATTTTAAGGCGACAGTCTAAAACCTAAAAGTATCAAGAGGTAACTGAAATGTAAAAAAATCAGAATTTTACAGTTTTGGTCTCAAATTTTCTTCTATGCAAGAAAAAAAAAACTGAAACCAGTTTTTTAACAACTTATGTGATGTCAATATAAACTACCATTCTAAATATAGAGCCAATGAAGTCACTTTTTTGGGAAGATTGAGGTATGATTTATACTGATTTCAGGCACCTAAATGAAAACGCTAATTTCCTAATAGTAGATGTGTAAAACTACTAAACAAAATATATTCTTTCCTCCCTGAGTTTACATCCTGGATAGTCTGTTAATTTCCAAGTATATAAAAATAGTACATGAGAAAAGGATATAATGCACATAATAGATGACTACTTGCTTAATTTAGCAAGATACTATCTTTGTAGGGTTAACTGTAACAAGGAGGAAAAACACATACAGAAATACCAAAATAAAGTTATAAAAGCTAAAAGGGTAAGGTATGTGAGCCTTGAACTCAAAGAACACCTTGTTTTTGTTTTATACATGTCAAAAGTCAATTTCAGAGATTTCTGGGTAGAACCCAGGGAAATATAAAATCAACAAGGGTCATTTCTAATATTAATATCTGGAGATTATAAAAAATTAACGTATCATTTAAGGAGTTACAATACACCATATCAATGGCTACAGTTTTTTCATTTCATTCTATTTCACTGTGTGCCAAGTAATAAAGCAAAAAACTTCTAACTCTGAGAAAATACAAGAGCACTCACTGGCTTGAAGAGCTGAGTATATCTCTATACTCTGTCACTTAATAGCTAGGTATTCTCTTATATAAGGAACCCAAAGAATAAATTAAGGATAGATGTTAGGAAAGGGGCCAAAAGATGGTGGGAGTGAAGAGGGCAGAGAAAAGCAAGGGGAAGAGGACAAGATGAAGGGGACTTAAAAAGAATTAAGATGTGTTATGCATATGTACCAATTCTTCATGATAAATATAATCATTATGTACTGTAAACATGTACTAATATAAATAAAAATTAACACAAAAATAGCTATGGAGCCGGGCCAGGTGGTGCATGCCTGTAATCCCAGCACTTGGTAGGCTCAGGCAAGAAGATTTCTGTGAGTTCGAGGCCAGCCTGGGCTATATAAGTGAGTAGAAGGCCAATCTGCACTACCTGGCAGGAGCCTGTCTAAAAACAACAACAACAACAACAACTACATTTTCTTCAGAACTTCCTTCCTTAATCCATGAAAGAGGTGGAGTGGATTCTTCCTTATAAGTTGCTGAAAAGATCAAATGAGATTATGCATATATAGGGTCTGACAATTAAGGTGGATATGTATTTAACACAGCGTTATAATTTACATATTATGCTCTTTAAAAATCTTTTGGTAGAGTATGTTAAAATGTACTGAATGTTGCATCACCACTAAGGTACTATTGAGGCAAACAGAATACTTCAATTTAGAAGTAGGTGTTCCAAACTATTTGTATTTTAGTACATTCTACTGAATGAGAATTCTGATTTCTGGGACTCAATCCTTCACATACTCCCTAAACAAAACTTTTGTTCACAAGATTTTTCTTTAAAAAATAATCACTGAAAGGGGTACTGAATGGCTACCAATATTACTTTTTACAGTAAGAACTTCAAGAGATCTTTAATAACAACCATAAACTTACTATAGAAATCTCAATTTACCAAATTTAAGCCCTTCACTCTGGTTTCTGTTAAATTAATCATATCACTTTACAAATGTGACAGACTCTCACTCTTCCACATCATTATACAAACTGCCTTCTCTCTGGTCTTGGAAAATCATCCCTTTCTCTTTATCAGTGATCTAATATGAATGACCCATTTAAGATTCAGTTCAAAGTCAGCCTCAGAAGAATGCACAAATAATGCATTGATTCTGAGAAACTGGGTGACTAGTGATGTAGAAGACAGTCTTTCAATATCCTCTTCTGCACATTTTGAATTTTGAACTATATAAATGAATACCTGTGCAGAAAATAACTTTCAAACAGAAGACAGTCTATTACCTTCCCACACAAAATTGTTGCCAACAGCATTCATACTTAGTTCATCACATCTGATACTCTTTTCATATAGCCTGAGATCTTGGAGGGAAGGATAGTTTTATTTCTGTATTCCAGTACTAACTACTC